TTTTGCAAAATTTAGGTGGGTTCCGCATTTAGTAAGAGCAAAGCGCTTAGCTCCAGCATGATAAGTTCCAAGTAAAAACAAGTGCATTTGGGGCGGAGGTTCATTTTTCCAAGTCAACCTGTGGTACACCAGCGGACTGATATGGGGGGAGGGGGGCTGCCTACCTAAAGGGCACCCTTTGTACTATCCATATTTGGCTGACTGACCCTAAAATTTTTACCCTAAATTTTTTTTTGGGGAGGGGGGGGAGGGGGGAGCACGTTTGGCCTATTTGGCCCGTTTTTTTCCAGAAATTTTTGGCCCGTTTTTTTTCAGAAATTTGCCTGCGGCGCAGAAAATTTGTTCAAAATGGAGTCTTTTGGGATTTGGTGATTTGGTGATCTCTAGTGATTCGGGAGAGCTTGGAAAATCAAGTTGGTCGACTAATAAACAAAAAAAAGCACGACAAAATTTTAAATTTTGTTTTTGAAAATCCGCCCCTCCTCCCTCAAGAAAATCCTACCCGCATCCAGTTTCAAGCGTTAATAATTGATTATATTTTGATTTTAGAACCAGTCTTACTAAAATTGAGAAACAATCGATTTCAATCAATTAATAATCAATTATAATCTCGCTTTTTAAAATCAAATTGTCAATAATTATAATGCATTATAATCGAATACAGTCGATTACTTTTTCGTATATTTTTCGATACAATTATAACCAATTACAGTTGATTATAATCCATTATTTTCATTCAAAATTCTAATTCATTAGTTTTGCACAAAAATCCATTATAATCGATTATAATTGACTATAATCCCGTTTGTTTGTCCATTTTGTCTTCGGAGTTGCATCTTAATTGCATAGATTTTATGCTTTTTGTTGTCGTTGGTTCCTATGAAAAATGAGAAAAACGTTTTGAAAGTTTTCCAATCAATTCAAATAAATAAAGTTTTTTTTATTTCCCCATTGGAGTTGTTTTGTGATGCATATTTTAAGCTTTTTTAACCACCAAAACATCAGCAAAATGATTTAGTTTCATGATTGATTCGGAAAACTTATTTTTCATCTACCGCGGGAACGTTTCCACTAAGATGAAATAATCTATTGTAATTAATTTTAAGGGTTTTTTGTAAGGACTTGGAAAATAGCACGATTATAATTAATTATAAATCCTTTAAACACCTAATTTTGGTAATTATAATCAATAATAATTGTTAAATAATCATAATAATAATTCGCTATAATCGATTACTGACGCCTAAACTTGCATGCGGATAGATCCGCCCATGCTGTGGTAGATTAAGTCTTACTTTCCTTTTTTGTCTCAATTTGAACCTGTGATTGAACTACCACCTGGTTGCCCCCGTAATTTTAAACCACACAGTTTGATCTGATTTGAGAGTGTAATTTTGGTTTGTAAATTTTGCAAAATAAATTGCGCCAAAAAATGCTGGTTAAATTCCCAAGAAATTTTGTCTTCATCAGTTTTAATTCCAATCGAATTTGAGAGATAGATACGAGTTTGCAAAACTTTGTTTCATTTCACTTAATCCGGTATTTTCAATTTTTGTTTTATTTCATATCGATGCTATAGAAACTTGTTCAGCTCGAAATCCAGCAAAAAATCAATAAATGCAAAAAAAAAATTGCGTGAAAAAAAAAACATTCCGGTTGTCAAAATATGTCATCAGGTTTCGGGGAATTTTTTCAACCTACTCACAAAAAAACTTTTTCAAAACCCAAATATATGTGACATCAAAAAGTTTTGAAAACACCCTGTTAATAACTGATTCACGTTTTAAACTCTCATTGATTTTAATTCATTTGCTGAGTGAGACTTATATCTCGATGCCTGATAGATTAATTTTTGTTTCCTCAGCTTATGGTTTTCCTCCTGCGTGCCCTTATATATCTGGTTTGCTGATATGATGGCACTAATTATGGAATTTAATTGATTTTAATTATTGATTTTAATTTATTTGCCAAGTGAGACTTATATCTCGATGCCTGATAGGTTAATTTTTGTTTCCTCAGCTTATGGTTTTCCTCCTGCGTGCCCTTATATATCTTTGCTGATTTGATGGCACCAATTATGGAATGACGCTGAATTTATGCTAATTTGGTGATTATAGATGGTTCTAGAAAAAGCAAATAAATGTTTCGCCTCTAATCGTTTGAAAAACCATGAACAGAATTATCACACAATAAAATGAGAAAAAAATCAAAATTTCATGCATATTTGGACAAATTTTTCAACGCTGAAAGCTGACTATACACTACAAAAGATGCTGTGAAACAATTTAAACAAAAATTTATTTGATTTTGGTTTCGCAAACAAGAGGCAGAGTCCAAAGTGTCGAATTCACTAATAAATCGGGCATTCCACGACAGCGCATACCGGTATTATTTATTTCTATGGATTCCTTAAAATGATCTGGACTCAGCGAATTTGTTGCGGATTTTGCAATATTTGCATCTTGAGCAAATATTTTGAGCTGCATTTTTTGTTCCACCATTTGAGAAATGGGGAGGAGCTTTCTATTTGGGTATGTTTTAATTTTTTTCACGCAAAATCTGGTATAACTAATAATCTTTGGACTGAGTTGACTGGTTTATCATGTAAAAACCCTTTCAGTCGTGGTTTGAATTACATTCACAAACATCAAAAAAACCCCAGTGTCGAGGAAAATCGGTTTGAATTTCTTATTTTTTGTCTATTTTCGAGTGAGTGAAGCGATCGAGTAACGTTCGTTATGTATGAAAGTTACCAATTTAGGGTGAAATTGATAGTTTTACTTAAAAAATATATAATTTTGGATGCCCTATATAACGCTTCTCAGGCAAAAAACCTTTGAAATTATTTGAAAGTTTCAGTTCAAAAAGTTGAAAAAAAAATTTAAAAAAACTCATCTTTTTATATATATATTTTTGAAGACAATTGTAGTTTTTTATGTCTAATTCACTCAATTTCTACGCATTTTCATAGCAGTATTATCACACAAAGTATCATTTAAAATTAATTTAGAAATCGCACGTGATGTTTTACGTGCTGTATAATAAAATCAAGTACAATGATATTTTATGCCTATTTAGCTTTCGAGGTAATTCCCGGCTCTTTTTCCTTTTCCCCCCCACCTGCAAATTTTTATATTTGAAGTTACTGTTCACTTTGTTCGATTGTTATGAAAATTGACAGGCAGACTAATTAGGCCATGACTAACATATTTGGTCTTCATAATTTACCTTGTAAAACCACTCGTTAGACCATAAAATTCATGTTTAAGTGAGGTGGGGGGGAAAAGGAAAAAGAGCCTAATTCCCATGTTCAGGACCACAAAGGTCTGTTTCTGGCCAGTAAAGTTTCATTTTAAAACTAAAAAAACGGAAACAATCAATTGACGGACTTTTGTTTGTCTTCTTATTCTTGCCGACTTGAATTTGAAAGCCTGATTTTTCCCTATGATTAAACCAACTTCAACTATGATTGAAATTCATCTTGATTATTTCTTATAATTTACAAATTCAACTCAGGATTTTTTAAATTTTACTTTTAGTTTTTTTTGCTTTCTGGTCATAATCGAGCTAGGCTTACTTTAAATCGTTTTAGTTGTCACATGATAGTTGTTTGAAATATGAAAATAGATTTTCTTTCGTTTTTATTTTGGGGTGGAATTTACAATTTTTTTAGTTTCAGTTTTCAGAGAAAAGTTATCTGTTAATTGATATTTTTCTGCGCTTTACTGACATTCTCCCTGTAGTTAACAAACTCTGCACGCAAAATCTTGCCTCAGCCAATTTTTAGAAAAAAACTCCTGTCTGAAAAAGTTGAAATCGCATTCCAACAAACTTTCCAGTCAATTTTTTTGTTATTTTTGTTTTCATTAATTTTTTGCAATTTTTTTATAGCTCAGAAAATCTTCAGAGAAAATTTCTGCCCAAACGTAAGCTTAAGCGTAATTTTTTCCTGCTATTTTAATTTAACTTGTTTTCCCGAATTTTTTCAAGCTTCTAGTTTCCGAGAAGATGCATGGACATCTACTGAGATTTCAGTCAGACCAGGTGATGGACGCCTTCAAAATACTTGACAAGGAGGGCAAGGGAAAAATCACAGTCAAAACACTCAGACAGTTCCTCACCGCTACATGTTGAATTGATATTAAGGATCTAATAAACGTCATTCCCCCTTTGTCCGCCCTAACTAGACCAACTTAGCCTCCTCCTCCCTATATGGACCTCAAACTAAAATACTCAACCCCACCCTATATTTACTTTAACTTTCTTACGAGTGCTTCAAAATATGCTATTCTGATCGGCTGAAAATTCTGAACATCTTAAAATCGAGTTAAAGTCCTGCCCCTAAACAGCTTCTAAAAAGCTTGCTCTTAACATGATTCAATATTTATATAGCGATTCGAGTTTTAATTTTGATTTTTACTAAATTTTCTTATAATCTGTTTTTTTAGTGGTTCAGTTTTGGTGGCCGTTTTTTTATCAACAAAATTTATTCATCCACTACCGATAAGGTTAATTTATTGTTACACCAGCCAAAAACGGTCAGCAGCCTAGTGTTTTTGGTCATTATTTCAAAATTTGGAAAGCCGGACATGTATTTGTCTCATTTTCAACCCGTAGAAGTCTTTGCCTGAAAACGGGCGACTCGTTTGTTGACTTATAACTTTTATTTTAAACAGCTTTGCATCAATCGAGTTATTAGCTAAAAATTCAAATTGCCGATAATCTTGAATAGTTCTGAAGTGAATAATTCTGAAATGAAAACTCAGTAAATCAGTTTGAATAAGTCTGAAATGAACATGATAAAAATTTTAGCAAAGTGCCGCGCTTTAGTTAAGTGGCGGCCATCGTGTTGTTTTTGAAAAACATCGGTTTTTTGCTGAGACAAAAAATATAGTGTTTCTTTCACATTCGTTGGTATGATTTGTACGATTGGCTTTATTTTTTAGCTTTATTGTTGACACCTCCTGTTTTTTCATTTTCTGAAGCGTTTTTCACGGCCATTTGGTGTTCTTCAAAAGCTAGTTTCTAATTCAATAAACACAAACTAAGACAATTTTTTTTTTGCGAAATTGACTCAAACGTTAACAAACAGTCGGTTTAGGTCCACTATCAGTCCCAAATGGAATCGGTCGGCATAGAAGTTCCAAAGTTTAGTCATCGCAAACACCTGGAATCGATCCGGGGTCTGGCTTGTCTTCTGGTCATTCTCTTCCATTGCGACCTAGTATCTTTCTCAAATGGATATCTAGGAGTGGACGTGTTTTTCGTTCTCTCTGGATATTTGATCACATCAATTTTGCTGAGAGAATTAGCCAGCAAGGGTGAAATTCATTTCACCCAATTTTACTGTCGCCGTTTTACACGACTTTTTCCAGCTTCAGCTGTTGTTATATCACTTACAGCAGTTATTTACAAAAACACTGAGCTTCCTGAATATGCAATGAAACATGAAGATTCATTTATCGCGTCTGCACTTTACGGTGAAAATTGGTATGCTCTCAAAGTTGCCATGGACTATTTCACCGATAAAGGATCAGACCAGAGCCCCGTAGTTCACTTTTGGTCTTTGTCAATCGAAGAACAATTCTATTTTGTTTATCCTCTGTTTTTATCATTCGTCTGGTCAATTTCGCAAACAAACAGATTATTTCGTTTACTTATTACCTTTATTATGTTTTTGGTTTTGGCAATTGGTATTAATTTTTACATGTGGCACATTGACCCTATGGTATCTTATTTCTCGACATTTGGTCGATTTTACCAATTGCTATCAGGTTCCGTTCTCGCCATTATGCTTCTGATTCGAGATGTTTCCAAAAACTCAAAGCCACTCTCGCGTTTTGTTCCGTTTGCAGATTACTTTGCAGGCTTGACTCTAATCATTTTTGTATTTGTAATTTATTTTTGTCGGTCTATTGACGCATTTTATATGGGTCAAGTAACCGTCATTCTCTCATTTTCTCTAATTTTCTGGCTCGAGCTTTCGAATAATGAAAATAATTTGATTCAAGTTTATCTCTTTGAAAATGAGTTTCTTTGTTTCATGGGTAAACTGTCATATGGTATGTACCTTACACATGTACCCATTGCTAAGATTATGGACATATTTGGCTGGCTATCTCTTGAAGGTTCTCTGAGAGGAGCTGAGATTGTTTCAGTTACTTTTATAGCAGCTCTTATTATATTCTACTTAGTTGAGCGACCATCAAAAGATGCGCTTAATAACTGGAAACTGAAACCTGTATGGAAATTAATTGGCTTTGCTTGTTTATCGATCCTACAAGCTGTTTTTATTTGTTTGATATTCTCAAACTCGGGTTATTTTATCACAAACCACCCACTAAAAATTAAAAATCAAAAATCTGTTTGCGACAATTTTCGAAAATTGGGCTCTGTTTTTCTCAACGGTGACTCATATACGCACGCTTGGGCTGATGTATTTCTCGAAACGCACAAAATTTGTATTATTTCAGCAAAGTACACTTTTATTAAAAGTCCGGGTGCGCCGTATCTCACTGTAATTGAAAAAGTTGCGAACTATAACGACGGCTATCAAACATTTCGTCTACAGTCAGAAGACTTTTTAAGAAATGAAGAACCGAATGTTACTTTATTTTTCTCGAGATCAATATTAAGTCAGCCCAAGTTATGGTACTCAAATTACTCTGGAATTGGAGCCAAATCGAAGGAAAACGAGTGGAAAATACTCATAAGCGAAGCATTTTCCGAGTTTTTACCCCGAACACTAAATCACACAACTGGCATTTTCATGATAGAACATCCGCACCCAAAAATTAACCCAATGAAATGTATCAAACGATTACAAAACGTGTACGGAACTGATTGGAAAAATCGCTCAAATGAATGCAAAATCGAGCTTGTATATGATAGGGGGATTGTCTTTTTGAAAACCTTGTTCGAGCGCTTCAAAAAAGAGTATAAGAACTTCTTTTACATAGAATTGGGACCCCTCCTGCTAGGAAACAAGTCTAATTCCTTTGTAGTTGATGCAGTACTGGATGACGACATAGTTTATGGTGACGACGCTCACATCACTAAAGAATTTGCAAGGAAGCAGCAGCACCTACTGCTCTCGGCGATAACAAGACTGATAGGCTAAATATTTTCTTCAATCTATTCAATCTAAGATCCGGAAATGCAGTATTCATTGGTGGTTGAGGGTCCGAATGGTGAAACAAAACTATCAGCCAGTCAGATTATAGTATCCAGAAATATGAAAGATATTTTCATCTTTTACATCTAGTCATTTTAAAATCCAGGAAGGAGTGAATCTATGGCAATGAAGGGATCAAATGATGGAAAAAATATCAGTCAAGCCGAATTAAGTAGATGCTGGGGCTGATTTAGGGGACGGAGTTGCTCTTTTTTCTTCAGGGACCCACTGAATTCCAAACCCCCTCTAGTAATAATTTACAAAATCGATTTTCAGCTGATCACCCTGATTTTTTCCAACAGTCGTATCGTTGAAGAGTGCTATTGCTTTGCTCACAAATGGTTTTGTTTTGCTCAAATTCTGTAAATTTCTACCCCCCAACAAAAAGTAATTTAGCTAGATTCTAAAAAGACAGGAGCTAATTTTGGACCGTTTTGCATAGTGCTGTCCTTCATTCTGTCGCTGAGTCTGCACCCACTAATTGATGGGGGGAGGGGGCAGCTGGCACTTCTTTTACCTCAAGGCACAATGTTGTCACAGTCCCATGGTCAATGGAAAAATCCAGTGGTTGAGTATTGACGAATGATTCCACAATCGATGCATGAGCGGCCTCATCTTTGAAAAAATACAAGCCATATTAATGCAAGATTTTGAGTGGAGAAACTTTTTTCAGTTAGATTTTTAAAAAAGACAATAAAATTATTATTCCGACTTTTGAAGAAAGTGACGGAATAATTGTGCTCGTGGTGGTTTTTTCCAGACAAATTTCGAATTTTTACCTGGCAGATTAATTTTTTTATATCATTCCGGAAGTAGGGTGGCGACTTTTCACTTAGGGCATTACACCGGAAGTAGGTATGGGTTTCCAAACTTACAAATCCCTAAACTAGGTCTCTTACATACTAAAAACCGGTCCCATTCCAACCGCTAGATACTAAGTTCTGATGGGGGCTATTAGTACTTCTGGAAACCGTCATCACTTGGGCCAGAAACTTCCGCCCAACTCAAATCATTTCTAGTAGCCGATCTATGAGTTTCATAAATTTAGCTTCCTTAGTTCCCATTTGAAAGGAGGAGTAGACCATATCGGTTTCTTAGAGATGGAACTAAATTTTTGAGGGTTCGAACAATTTTGAGATTGATCACATGTTTGGTTATCTACGTATCGTATTGCTTAGCCAAAACTGAGCTGTGTACTACTCATAAGCTTCCGAGTGACTGCATGCAGTTGCCAAAGTAATGCTCTCTCAGTCGATTTTTTTAGTTGGTCGAGTTGCATTAGGATCACCAATCCTACAGACTTCTCTTTTAGTTCTTTAATCTCCCGGATAATTGTTAAACTACGTAAAGTTAAGAGTCAAGTGGCAAATGTTTTTGCTCTTCTAATATTTTTTTGTCTTCTTATCTTTTATTACTGATCCAATATTTACTTCCTAAAGTTTAACCTAGTTATCTTGCTTTTCACTAGCCTTACAATTTTTCCAAACTGCTGCAATACTGAAACAAGAGTATTGAAATGAATAAATATGTTTTATCCGTCTCTGGGTTGCAGTCTTAGACCAATTTTTGTCTGTTTGAACCAACATTCATACAAACTTTGTATTTTTCTCTGAAAGAAATTTTTAATTTTTAGGGCTGAAGTTGCTGCTTCTTGGCTTTCAAGTATCTCAAAATTTGTTGGGATTTGGACTAGGCAACTATGAGCCAACTTAATTTGTCCAGAGGTTCACATGTTTATGTTTATGGTGTGATAACTTTTTTTCTTTTTTTTTCATTTATTAATTTTTTTCCCGCAAAATTGGCCTCCTGAAACTGTAGAAATCATTGAGTTCAAACATTGCGAGGCCAAACTGTGCATTTTGTGAAGTGTAAATGGATTCTGCAACACGATTCCGCAACATGGATTCCGCTCCCTTTGTTCTTCTTTTGTTCTTTCGTTTTTAATCGTTCTGACAAAATTTTAACATATTTAAAGACTTGTCTCTGGAATTCAAGAACACACAGACACAAAATTGTGCGCCTATCCAGTTCCAGTGCACAGTTTGGCCTCGTAATGAAGAGTCAAAAATGATGGAAAAAAAGACGTAAGGCATGCCGAAAACTGTATAACAATTTCCAATTTCAAAAAAGCAAAGGCGGTTGCTTTGAACACAATGTAATATTTATATGAAAAACTTTTAAAAATCAAAAATTCCACACACCAAAAATAATTCAAAAAATAGCATTCAATTTTTTTTTAATAAAAATGGTACTGTAAAAGTCTTAGGCTGCGAGACTTGTATGACTACCTTTTTTCATTATACCAGAAGTAAAACACTATTTCTGTATCAAAAAAGCAATTTTCAAAAAAAAATAATCAGAAAAACTTTTAAAATTTCACGTTTGGTTTCTTGCATTGAGCGGAAACATAATTTTTTTGTTTTGATTGGAAACAAGCACGTTGACTAGTTGAAACTGAAAAAGTTCAACTGGTGATTAAAATTTCAAGTTAATTGTTTGCTCAATTGTAAAAAGTTGAGTTCTTCTCGAATTACTGCTTCAGAGCTAGTATTTACGTCACAACCCAATCTAATAATGCAGTTTCTAATTGAGATTTTAAATGTCGTTCTTTCTGGTGCAAAATTTTTATCAAAGTTTTCATTGAGGAAACAAAAAATTTTCGATTTGACAGTTTATACAAATTGATGACCATACATTTTCCTGACAAAAAAACGATTAGTCAGACAATTCATATTTTGAAAAATATTAAACTAAAATTTGTCTTAAAATTTTTCAATTGTGTAGGATGCATGGGAAAGTTTATGAGAATTGTTTGACTGGCATTTTTCAGCAATCCGGGTCAAATCAGCACAAATAAACAACAACTTAAAAGCTAGAGCAATATGCAAGTCATAGTAGAATTGATGTGGCAATTAAAACTTTCACCAATCTTTGTGTTTTTTAAACACTACTGAGGCCTTTTTAGCTGGTGCGAAATTCTGGCTGGTTATTTTCAAATAAGATTAACTTAATGAAAATTAAACGTAATCGTACACATCAAAGTTATACGTAATGGACACAAAATTATCAGGTTTTTTTGAACACTTTGGCAAGAAAGCTACATGTTGATGAAGTTACATTTTGGGGAGTTCATAGTTTTTGAAAATATTGGGTTCTTGAAAACTTCTTTTGAAATCAATTAGAAATCGATCAAAAAAACTTTTTTTTGAAAATCTTGCCCACAATTTTCGAATGGTTCAGTTTCGAACGATAAACTTAATCCAAAAAAGCGGTTGGTTTAGCCGCAATCATTTAAGTTAAATAACAAACTTTAAAAAACATTTTTTTTCTATTAAGAAGCGATTACATATTTTGTCAGGCTTGATCTCCATACCTAGAAAAAGCGAGTCAAAATGTTTTACTTAGTTCGTATGATATTAATTAATGTTAGTCGTTCAACTCCCATACTATTGTATAATTATTGTATATAATTAACGTCTTTGAAAACCCTAGAAATTTTCTAAATTAAAAACTCTAAAACGACACAAAAAAATGATCAAGTTTTTTTCTTAGAATAAACTCTTGAAGTATTAAAAAAAACTGGAAAAACTAAAGTTGTCTAAAGTTGCCCAAATGCTCGAAAATTGCGAAAAAAAAATCCGTTGATCAGGTTTGTTTCTAGCACTCAGGGGGAGCCTATTCATTTTTTTAGTTAGTACCAAGCACTTCAGCTAGTCAAATATCAGGGCAAATCCACGATCGGCAAAAATCTTGCAATATGATTTTCTGCCCAATTATAAGAAGTTGCACAAGATTTTTTCAAGTTACTGCTTCAGAGCTACATTTTATTGCACACATTTATAGGCCAAATTGTGTATTTTGTGAATTGTATGCGGATTCCACAATAAAGATGCTCCTTTTATTTTTTTCCGTTATCATTTTAACACGTTTAAAGATTTGTCTCTGGAATCCAGGAACATACAGTCACCAAATTCTGCGACTATACAAAGCACAGTTTGTCCTCGTAAAAAACTTAATCTCATTTCGCAAAGTTTAAATGAAATTATGCAGGTAGTTCTGAACCATGGGTAACTTAATACAAGGGTTTATTGTTTTTGGGAACACGGCAAAAACCAAAACATTACATGTAATAGCAAAAAACAGGATTCAAAAAAGAAAAAGTATAAATGTCAGTCAATTTTCGAAACATTCAGTGTTCATTTTAGGCTGTTAATTATTGGGTTTTTGTTTTTCTAGAATGAGAGTAGCCCCCCTTGTTTTCTATAATCGATTTTTTAAAAATCAAAGTTGAAACAAAACTACTTAGAAACAGCATCACAAAGCGATCACCCGCGCAAATTTTGTTTGTAGGTGCAGATTAGTTTACGTTAAGGTTACATCGTAACCTTGCTACACTTATGCTAAACACAAGAACCTAAATTTTTTGTCTAAAGTATTTACTTCAGTCTATTCATAACCTTTTCACACCTCAAAATTATAGCAAAATTTTCTTCATTATTTAACTGTAAATGTGACTGAGATTATTACCAAAAAATCTAAATTTTTTTCTAAACAAAAAAAGATCAATTCTGAACGGTTTTCCAGTTCCTTTGTTATTCTTTTCTGGTATTCATGCACTTTATTTACGAAGGCGGAGAAATATTTTTGCTTTTTTCATCTATACTTTTGAAAGAAACACAGATCTTTTCAGAGACGCAAAAGCGGACTGATATTTTTGTTAGCGAAAATCAACGGTCGTTATTTCATAAATCCGGATAAAACTCTTTTGAAAATTTGAGTGAAACGCAATAGTAAATCAAATCAGTTGCCCTGAGCTAATGAATATTCGATGTTTATCTGAAAAAAAACAATTAAAATGGAAGTATGTGACTTCCGATGATAAAAATATTGATTCAATACAAAAACCCTTCATAATAAAACCAGCTGCGCAAGTTTGAGTCAGTAATTTTACCGACTGAAGAACCGGCCTAAATTTTTATTCTCCTCATTTCTTAGCTAACGAACAGTTGACATCAAGAATCAGTAATCCCAATAAGTTTCATTTTTTTCTCACTTGTCTTTGCTTATATTTTTCGTTTTTAAAATCATTCTTTCTTTCCAAAATTTTGAGACAAACACAATTTGTAAAAAAAAACGAGATCAGAACTAACAATGGTTACCGGAGAGCAAAAAGAGACTAAACCATCAATCAAGATACCTCTACGACTCAGGACTACCCAAAATCAGAAAAACTGAACTAGTGAGGGGCTTAGACACCAGACGAGGACTCTAACTCTCGAGCTGTAATCGGAGACTGCAACTCGTGACTTGTTTCCAATAAGTAAGGTAGAAATTGTGAACAAGCGTTAAAATATCATCCACCCCAACTTGGTATTAGTAAGTTAAATTGTTGCATCATTTTATAATAACAGTGTTAGCTAACAACTAATTAAACTCTGTAGTTTATCAGTTTTTCTAACTAATGATTTGACTATAACTCGTGTCTAGAAATTTGACGATCTCATGTAAGATTCATAGCCCTAGGCTAGATTACTAATTAATAAACCAGCACTGTTGGCTTAGTAAAAAACGACAATTTTTTTCTCATATTGTGACTGAAGCTGCAAAAACTGTAAGAATTGACGCTCAAAATATTCTCGATTGAGCATTTTCTGAAACTGCTTCGAACTAGTTCTGAGCCCTTACCAAGACAATTTTTTATTTTTGACCTGGAAAACTTGATATTTAATCTAATTCACTGGTCAGAAATTCTTCGTGAAATGTTTAAACAAAGCAGGGATTTATTTCTCGTCTTGTTTCTGATCAGAAATTAGTCAAATCTAGGCTTTTTCTAGCTAGAAAAAAAGTATCCTGCTTGGTGTCGATCCCCATAACTGCCATTCTTTGTCTCCCCAATTGCCATTCAACCATAATCTAGGTTGGTTTTGGCAATTTAATCCAAAGCAACGCTTGTTTTAACAAGTGCTAACTTTCATTGTATTGCTACGGCTATTGTGTAAAGTCGAAACATGTTTATCTCGTTGCAGTTGAGCAGTGCCCGGGTTGACCAAAAATGCTAGTCACACATTTTCCATATATGGAAATTGTATGATTAGCATTTTTTTGACAAAAAGTTTTTCTTTTTTATTTAGTACGATACACCGAATTTGATGCCAAAACAAGAAAAAATTTTTTCAAAAATTCAACGACACCAGTTTAGCAAAATGGATCAAAATTTTTATGAATAGTATTTTTTCATAGACTTAGTTTATGGAATTGTATGATTAGCATTTTTGGTCTATGGAGGTCAACCAGGGTGAACTGATTTCTGGTTATTTCTTTCCGGAAAATGTTTATACCTAAACTAAGAAAGAAATATATCATTTATGTACAGAAAACACAAAAAATTTGGCTAGGTAATCTGTATAACATTTGTATCTAGAAAAACAGCCTTCGTTGGGTACGAGAGTTTACCCTTCCTTCGGACATCAATCGGTTTTGATAGGTTATTTACAGCTATCAGGTTTTCTGGCATGAGATTAGCCCACCTGACTGACTGTGAAACAATCGGTTTTTGAACGCGCATCAAAATTTAACATTTACTTATGGGAGTTCAAAACCCTATAAAAATTTAGATAACTTCTTTGAAACCGAAGAAAATCGTTTAAAAAGTCATCAAAGAAGATTTTGATATATAAAATCATTGATTGATCGATCTGTTTTCGTACTTGTTATCAAATGTTATCTCACATAAGCATTTCGTGGCTGTTTTAGTGATTATTGAATGCGATTGTGATAAACGTGGCTCCTAGCTCGTTCAATAAATGGCTCCCCTCCACACCTTAATAGTAATTGGCCATTTATAGTTGTTACTTTGTAAATAAAGAATTTCATCAAACTTCATATTATTGAAAACGGAGAACAAGCTAAGAAACAGTTCGAACAAACTGGTCCCTATTCCGATACGATCATATTTTTGTTAAATTTAGAGCGCATATTCAATTAAAGTTAGCTTAAAATCGCAATATCAAACGAGCGATTATTGAGCGATTATACTTCAAAATGAGCAACAAAAAACATGAGCATTCCAGCAAACACGACTGGACATCGGAGTATAACCACCCCGACTGCACAAAATACTACCAGAACGTAAGTTGGCCACTCAATCTGAAGAGTTGATATGTAGATATCTACCCGCACGGACAAACTCGAGATTCAAAAATATCTAAATTGATTTTATAGTGATAATATTCAGTTTAAAAATCCATTTATGGTAGGTAACTTATGATTCATAATGTATGATTTGCTAAGATTTTTATGTTTAAAAAGTTCGCTTAAACCGATTTAAAAGGATTTTTGCGAAGTCATGAAAACCATCGAAATGTCAACAAAAATGATTTTATTTACTGATTTTGCTTCGAAACTTGAGCAAATATGATTTCTCAAAAAAAAAACCTCCATCAGAGCAACAGAAAGTAAAAGTAACTCAAGAAGAGTTTTGTTAAGTGCAAACTTTTGAGTTTAAAAAAAATAATTCAAAATTTTGCAATTTTAAGGCTTGACACGAGACAAAAATTAAGAAATTCTGCGAAAACACTTCTAATGAAACTTCTTTATCAACGTTCTAGGCTCAATTTTATTACTAAATTGAGTTCATGATAAAACTTATCATGTTACTCTTTTTTCAAATATTCATATGGATGCATGTCACAATGGGTTCAAATTTTACTTAGAGCATGGTAAGCATGGTACAGTGCTGATTTAAATTAACCGGACAAACGCGTTAAACTTGAAATTTAAAACGCGTTTTTCTCAAATTGGGTTGAGTTTAGGTGAAAACTCATGAATACAAAACTTGTTTAAAATTTTAGCAGAATTAAAATGGTTTAATTTGTATTGCGAAATTCGTGCCCAAAATTTTACCCCAAAAATGGGACATTTTGGTTTTTCTTAATTAATCAAAATTTACGCCAAAAATACCCAGTCGATCACAGCCATAAATATATCAAAATTAGCCCCTTACGTAGCCTAAGAAACTTTAAGATGGGTATATTCTCCAAAAAAAAATTGCAAACCGTTCAAAAAATGTTTTTAAAAAAATAGTTGGTATTTTATATAGTAAAAACGACTTTTTTTTGTCTATCAAACAAAATGAATTAACTTATACAATGTTTTGGAGAAAATACCCTTCTTAAAGTTTGTTGGGATACGTAAGGGGCTAACTTTGATTTAATTATGTCTGTGATCGACTGGGTATTTTTGGCGTAAATTTTGATTAACTAAGAAAAGCCAAAATGACCCATTTTTGGGGTAAAATTTTGGGCACGAGTTTCGCAACACAAATTACACCATTTTAATTCTGCTAAAATTTTAAACAAGTTTTGTCTTCATGAGTTTTCACCTAAACTCAACCCAATTTGAGAAAAACGCGTTTTAAATTTCAAGTTAAACGCGTTTTGTCCGGCTAATTTAAAGCGGCACTGTACTTTCGTACAGTGAAAGTAAAATATTAAGATCTTACTGCAAAAACCTAATAATACTTATAACTTTTCCAGGTGATGGACAAAATGCAGCTAGTTGAGCGATGTGAAATAGTAGCCAAATACAGCGAGAAACATCTAGTTCCCCTGTTCAAACAGTGGTCGGGAGATCTGGACAAGCCCCTTCAGTTTCTGGATCTTTTGTGTTGCTATGGAAACGATACACTGGCCTACATTAATGCCTACTTTCAAACTGTCAGCTCCTCCTCTATAAGTTTTTAAAAGCATATTTAAACTAAATTTTTACAGAAAAATAATTTTTTCTTGTGTCAAAGTGATCAAGTTTAAACATTTTTTGGCGCCTCAATCTTCATAGGTTGAATGTATTAAGGCGTAAGGCACTTTTGTAAATGATTTCTCATTGATGTTGTCTTGGTAATTTTCTAATCAATTTTTGATATCTGGCAGCATTTTCTTTCAGGACTACGCAAAAACGTGGGCATCACAAGAGACCTGTTTTCAAATTAGCAAGCCCAGACAATTTCCAGTTGAGACTCTGGGCATCGATATCAGTGCACCTGCACTCCAGTTTGGCAAGAAGGTTGGAATATTTGACAGAACTAAAGTGTTGGATTTGAACAAATTGTCAGAAACGGAGACGCAGTTTTTGGAAGAAAAATGTCAAAGTTCAAATGTTCTAATAATAAATTCTCTCGCTTACATCAACGAAGATCAAATAAGGCTAATTATAGACTGGTTTGCAAGTGGAAAAGAGCCAGGAATGATTGCCATTGGATTTGTCTATTCCTATATGGGACCAGAGCTGATAAGTCGATACAAATTTCATTTGTTGAAAAAATTGAAATTTTTTGCATCAGTTCCGATGATGAACAGATATCTCCAAGAAGCAGAGAGAATGAAATTTGGACACGAGTTTGGAACTTACAGCCGAGCTTACTATGAAGTGTGGTACCTGACAAGAGAAAAATAGAAATAGGACGCTATAGTTATTCTAGTATTCATTCAAGAAATACAACTTGAAAAACAACTGTTATAACATTTAGACATCACATATTAAGTTTACATAGCCGGCTTAAACAAATTTTTTTCTCAATAATGAGTAACAAGTAAAAATTATAATCAAATTACAGCTAATTAAACATGATAGTTTTTGCTTCTAGTAACGTAGCATATATGACAAATTTAGAACTTTTTCCGGAACGGACTAATTCTCCGCTTGCGCGTTAATAGCGCAAAAAATATTACTTTTAATTCCCATAAATAATTTTTAAATCCCATAAAAAAAATCCAAAAAAATGATCACAGGTGAAATATAAAATTAATTTTGAGCTCACTACAATAATACATTTCGGATGATATAAAAAAGCGCGGTCAAAAATAGCTATTTAAAAGGTCGAAATTTGTCTGGACAAAAGGAACTACTCAGAGCAGAACAAATCCGTCTCTTTCATCAAAAGTCTGAACAAAAAATTTAAATCATGACATGCTTTACAAATTGAGATGTAAGTTTGTTAAAATTGTTAAAAAACAGTTATACTTGAGGCCATTAGAGTCTCTTTTTTCATTTTTGAACAATATAAAAAAAAATTTATCAGTCACAAAAAAAATCAATTTACTAGATGACCATATATATCATAATGATTATTGCACGTTTGGATCAATTTTTACAATGATATCGTACTTCTCAATTAAAAAATTAAAATACTTTTCAATTGTCTCAGGCAAAAACAGATCAATTTTAATAAATATGCTTCGGATGGGTATGTCATTTGAAAATCGGAAAAATTGGAAATCAGAAACTGATCTATTAATCGGCGTCGCATCGTGTTTTTCTGAAGAATTAAATGATTCTTACATTACTTTTGCCGCAAATTGTGAACTTCATAATTCGAATTGTGCCATAGTTTCTTCTTCATTTCGAAAAAGGATCTAAGTTTAGAAAAAACGGCAATCTTAATTCTGTTTATTTAACTAATTGTAATAATCTAGATAAAAAAACTTTAGTTTTGAGTTTTCAAAAACATAGCCAACAGACGAAATATTGAAATGTGCTAAGCTCTCGAGCGCCGTAAAAAAAGCAACATCAGTCCCGCTTCACACTTTTTCAATGTTTTTTATAGTTTAAATAAAAATTTTTGTCTGGGCTTAAAAGTCGGTGTACCGTCATAAATGAAAAAGAAAAATTGTTTGCAATAAATGTTCATCAAACAAACCCATATATAAAAATGGTATGAAAATCTTTTTTTTTTGGTGGTAATAAAAAATTGTTATATGTATATATATATATATATATATATATATATATTATTTAACCGCAACATGAATTTTGTACTGAACCAACTTTTTCAAAAAATTTTTAAAGCAAATTTTTCTTTTGTGCATGACGTAGTCCTGAATATAGAAGAGTTGGATTTTTTGTTTTTTTGTTTTTTCATAGAAACCGCTCAACACCCATATTTTTTGTATAGCATGTTTATGTATGCCTTGATCAGTGCCTGATTAATTAAAAAATCAAAGTTTAAAAACGATCATCGTTAAAAATGTTCGCCATAATTTACATTATAAAATTTGTGTAAGACAACTTTAAAACAATTAAGGTCGTTTTCAATTCTGTGTAAATGGAAGACGGTCATTTTTGTGGTTATTATAGTTTTGAGTGTGCCAAGGCCTTTGTTACCAATGCCCTTCTAATCTAACCATTTTGAGCAAATTAAATTTTTTAAAAAAATCAAGTGTTTTGTTTTATAGAAAAATCCTAGTCATACATTTTTTATAGATGAAAAATCAAAATCAATAATGATAGACCTTTCAAGCAATTTTCTGTACTTGTGAAGTTGCATGAAAAATGAATGATTAGCATTTTTGTTCGACCCGAGCTTTCAAAGATTTAATTTTTTTCCTTGTTTTTTTTTGTTATTGGGGTATATTTTCTTTGACCCTGACAAATGCTTGTTAGTGATTAATATTGAGCATAAAACTGAATTCCGCGAAAGTAGTGTATTTAATATCGACATGCACTAGCAAACCTAATGAATTCAGCGAAACTTGATTCCTGGGGCTTGCAGGTACCAAAAAATTAAAGCAATGAATCGCCAATGAATCCAGTTTCTTATCTTTTGATCAAGTTCGAAGAGTGGGAAGAAACTATGGCGTACTTCATGTGCTCTCATTCTGAACAAGATGGACTACAAAATATTTTTTGTTAGCAAACAATTAAGCTCATGAAGCTCCTTTCAAGGCCAAGCTGTTGCAAGGGAGAAAACTGAGGAACCTCCTAGAAAAAAACATTCACAAATCATGTTGCGGAATCTGCGACAAGTTTGTTGTTCCGATTTTCAATGTAAATGAAGAATATATAACTATAATTGCCTGGTTGGTTATTTCTTCAGACTGATCTTATAGAAGTTAACAGCATATGAGCATCGATCCGGAAATCTTTTGATTGCCAAGCAAGCATGCTTGAACTAAACTAAGATGCGGATTGCTTTGCTGCTCGAGTGATTTTTTGATAGTTTAAATAAGCGAAGTATTTCTGCATGGCAATTTACCTCAACTCATTATCGTTCGAAATTGAATCGAGGCAAGCTAATTGGTTTTGATAATTCCAAAACTAACACCTGAGTTAACACCTGAAATTTGATATTATCAGCCTAAAAATTGTAGTCAATATATCATCAACCAAAAAATATTCGAGAACAACGAATGGGCAGTCGAAAACTTAGAATTTTGCCCTGATAAGAGCAGCCTTGTTTTTCTTTGATATTCAACGAACAAACTTTAAGTGCTGACAAACTTTGCGTTAGGAGGCAGGGGCGGATTTGGGGTTGGGACGCCTTCCTCCTCAGGGATTTGATCCCCAGCCGACCCGAAGGGTCCCCTTTTGTAATATTTTGAGATATTCATATTTGGTGACGGACTCTAAAAATTTTCTAAGGTGCCTTTGGCGCCAATATATACTAATTTTGAACGGAAAGCGCGCGCCAAAAAACGCAATTTTTTGGTCAAAAAATTTAGTGACTAAAAACGCTTTTTTGCCGGTTTGCTTTTGACGCAGAAATTTGGCCGAAACAGGGTCTTTTTAGTGCTCTAAGAAAGCTCGGAAAATTAATTTAATTGACCAAAAAAGGTAGACAAAATTTCAAAACTTTTCTGAAACCCGATTTCCCTCGAGAAAATCCTAGATCCACCTTGTTACGAGGCATTTGCTATGAAACGCCAACACTATTTTTATCAGCGCATTTCGTTGATGATTCCTGGTCCGATATCCGGGATTTATACCGCGACCCAACTGAATGGCGACTAAAAACTGTCACTTTTGCAAGATTAGAGCAACGACGCTGTATAAGTCAACTAAATTTGCTACATGGATCGAGAAAAATGCAACATGAATCGCACTGGAACTCGAGTTGAACTTGAATTTTTTTTCTCTGAATCTAGAATTGATGTGAAGTGATCAAATAGAAAAATGTTATATAATTTCAATTTTTATGGAAGTTGTAGGATGGTTATCTTGCAAATCTTCTAAGATTCTTGCTAGATTACCTCTCTTTTTCAAGATTCTTGGAAGATAACCTATTTTGAAGATAACCCTAGGAAATCATCATTTGCATGTATCTTATGAAACATTCACATTATTTGACTGCAAGCATTTTGAAGAAGTAGCAGTAGAAGTTTTTAAAAATAAGTGCTGGCCATGCTTTTTTCTTGAACCCATTATAAAAATAGTGGCTCTATTCCAGTTTCCCCCCTTTCAAAATACCGAGTTTTATGTTTGTTTACGTGTTATTACGGCTAAATGCGTGATGTTACGCTGTAAAGTATGAAGAACAAATCTGTTCACAGTTGTCGATTTGTTCACCACGCCAAACATCATTGCATTATGACAATGTTAATCAAGCTTTTCAACTGGGGAAACTGGAAAAGAGCCATCGACTGTTACAAAAGTTGGTATGTGCGAACTAAGGCTCTTTTCCAGTTCCCACCTTTCAAATTCAGTTTTGAAATACTTATTAAACGTTGTCATAATGCAATGAAATTTGGCGTGGTGAACAAATCGACAACTGTGAACAGATTTATTCTGCATACTTTACAGCGTAACATCACGCATTTAGCCGTAATAACACGTGACACATACATAAAACTCGGTATTTTGAAAGGGGGGGGGGAACTGGAAAAGAGCCAAAATAGTTTTTGTGACATTTCTAAGAAGCTCTCCATTTTTGGTCTCTTCGATTTTTCTGCCCTTTTGATTGCTCTGATCATAAATAGTTTGATCATAATTATAAAAAGGAAAATTAACGATAAAATTTTTGAGTTCAAAGTTGCTTATAACTCTTATAACTCAAACAACTCACTTATCTCGCCGCTGCTATTGTATGCAGTGTTTGTGCTGATATTCTGAAAGAATTAAATTAAGGCAATAATATCCCCGGGTTGACGTCCATAGAAGGAAAATCTTTATCACACAATTTCATATATGGCGTCAATGGAAAAATGCATATCATACAATTTTAATACAAAATTTAAAACTGTTTTAAAAAATTTTAAAACACAGTTTTATTCTATTTGCTTCATTTGCAGCTTTCTGGTCATGTAAAAATTGATTAAAAAAGTTTGAATGAAAAAATGCTGCTTATCAAACAATTTTCATGGATGAAAATTGTATAAGCATTTTGCTATAGATTTTTTTAATCAAAAACTTCTCTAAAACATGTTGGCTTTGAATGTCAAAGAGCAATTTAACTATGAAAAACTTGATTTTAGTTTTGTTAGAAAAAATGTATCTTATTTCAATTTCATATATGAAACTGTGCGATAAGCATTTTTGAGGAGACAAATTAGAAATTTAAAAATCAATTGAAGCTTTGTTCGGGCAGTTTTAAATCAGTTTAATTGGGGTTTTCAGTGATTGAGATCAACTCACTGTCAAAAAGATATTTTCCATTTCGGTCGAAAAAAAGCTTATCATATAGTTTTCATGTATGAAAATGGTATGATATGCATTTTTTCATAGGAAAAAAAAACAAAGTTGAGGTATGAAATTTTTAATCCTCTTTTGCTTGCAAACTTGCTTTTAGGCCCATATATAAATTTTTCGAAAAAAAAAAGTTTGCATGCAAATTTTGACTTTTTGTGTTTATAACGAAGTCCAGGATAAATTTTTCACCCAAAAAATCCAAAAATTACCAAAAAAGGTTTTTTGTAAATAAGTTTTCTCTTTTGTATTATTATTTTGAATTCATATGCTACGATAAAGACAAATTTGTAAAAAAAACAGGCCTTTCTTCTCAACCACCAAAATTTCAAACTAAAAGTTATCTAGCTATATACAAAAAGTTATATTTTTGATATATAGTTCCATGTGAAAATGTTAAAATTAACTTACATGGCTAAAATTACCAAATGCAGATTATCTGAGTGGTAACTGCCAGTTACACTCTGGGTTTGCTTATGACAAAAAACTCCTTGGTTAGCGTTTCGGATGAAACACAAAAACTTGAAGAAAATTTTTTTTATATTTTCATTAATTGAAAAAATTATTATCATACAATTTCACAGTACAGAAAAAATGCTTATCATACAACTTCATAGAACAAAAAATTACTTTTGCTTTTTTCATAAAATTTTTCTGATAAAATGTATTCAAAACGCTTGTTATTTAATTCCAGAATGTTGCAAAATGCTTGTTATAAAAATTCATAGGAAAAAACACTTATCTTGCTATTTAATTAGTATTTTTTGATGTATGAAATAGTTTGAAATACTATGATAAGCATTTTTGTCTAACATGAAATAGTATGACAAGCATTTTGTCGACCCGGGTCTCTAAGGCATATCTACGCAGCCCAGCGGCCATGGGATTCGATAGGAAAGCGTTTCGAATTTTTATTCAATGGCAAAATCTTGCTCGCTAGTTGAAGTATTGTTGAAATTAACTTCGGCGCGACCGACAAGTTGTAAAAATAAGTCGCGAATCTCATCCCAGGCAGCCACTCCTGTTGCACTGATTGCGGAAGAATACATTAAGTATTTGTATATTAAACTTTGAATAAAGTTTCTTAAAATTTCAAACAAGCCAGTGAGTTTGAAATTTCCAATCTAAATTTCAAGTAAATTTTTTAAATTTTTGTAACCATTTAATTTTGGAATTTTGGAATTTCAATATTCTGATCCTTTTGAAACTCAATAAAAAATAAAAGAAAAATGATCCAGTTTTTTTAGAATTGTTCAATCATGACTTTTTTATTGGACTTGATCGACTAAAACGCGTAGTCGTTCAACCACTTTTCTTGTATTTTATCATATATAGACACCTTTCACCCTGCTTCGTCCCTAATGATCCAACACATTAATCTACCGCTTACGCATATTATAAGAAACACATCATGTTGCTTGTTAATTTTTTGACAAACTACCAGTTACCAACCTCCATAAATTTAATGAAAAATAATCATAGCTGAATTTTTTATATACAATTGAGCTCCAGATAACCATAACTTTCAGATGACTAGAAAATTTTCATCAAAACTGCCTACCCGTACCTTACAAAAACTTGGAAGTCAGATCTGAGCAACTTAAAATCTCAAATTGAGTGAATACAAGAAAAAACTACAAGTTGCACTCATATAAGTGCGTATAAGGAATAAACAAAACTGCTTGTATCAGTGCGTGTCCTTGAAAGTTCCGATTGCCTTTTAAGGTCTATGGAGCTGTAATAACATGAAAAATTAGATTTATTGGCACCTTTAGAAAAATTTTGGGTCGGTCACCAAAAAATGGATATCTCAAAATAGTACAAAGGGGGACCTTTGAGTCGGCAGAGGGTCGAATCTTTAAACCCGCCCCTGGTCTAGGATGTTAATTGCGATTGCAAGACATAAAAGTGTAGGTTAAAAATCACAAACAACCTGTTTTAAATCCGGCTAGTGAACGTGAGAAAATCCGAGAAAGCGTTTGTAAAAAACAACAAGACTGCTCGCATCAGTGCGAAGCCCTGAAAGTTCCGACTGCCTTTTAACGTCTATGGAGCAAAAAATAACATGACAAAATTTAAAGTAATAAAATAAAACAAATGGAAAAAAAATGAAACTTAGATTTTTTTGAAAAACATCCCCCACACTCCATATAAAAGTCAAAGTGATACATTTTGCTCCCAGTAACAAATCAATTATGGCATAAGCTTCCTTCACTATTTTGGAACGATTTCTAAGACGGATTAAGTTTCCGCTTACGCATTAATATTCTCCGCGCGATAATTGTCCCAAATTGGCCAAAATGGCAATCTTTAAACACTCAGAACTTTACGAAAAATGATCACAGGTGAAATATATTTTCAAGTTTAAGCTCAGGACAACAACATCTTTTGAATAATATCTAAAAAATTCCGTCTAAAATGGCTTGTTTAAAAGTTGAACTTTGTCTGAAGAAAAAAACCCACCCCGAGCACAAATATTTCGTTACTTTCGTGTCGAAAGTCGGAATAAAAAGTATAAAAAAAGACTAAATACTTTATGAGAAGTTTATGAGAAGTTTTCAGCAAAGTCATACCTCAAAAGTGAATATATATTACGAAGCTAACAGAAAAAAATCGAAGAATAGGAAAATTAGAACAAAATGGAGCAGAAACAGAAAACAGAAGAGAACAAGACTGCTCGCATCAGGGCGAGGCCCTGAATGTTCCGACTGCCTTTTAAGGCCTATGAGGCAGTGATAACCTAAAAAAATTAAATGTAATAAAATTAAATGAAATTTTTTTTTCTCTAAAATTTGAGATTTTTTGTGAAAATCATCTCCCCACACGCCATATAAAGTACAGAAGGTTATATTTTACTCCTTTTAACAATTCAATTAAGGCAAAAAAAACTCCTTCACCTAATTTGGAACAATTTGTAACACGGATTAAATCTTGTTAATAGCGCGAAATATATCGTGCGTTATTTGTCCCAAATTGGGAAAAATGGCAGTCCTTAAAACCCCATAATTTTACTTAAACCCCCATAATTTTCAAATATAAGCTCAAGACATCAAAAGCTTTTAAATGATATTTAAAATTTCCGTCCAAAATGGCTAGTTAAAAAGTCGAAATTTATCTGAAGAAAAAAAACCCCACCCCGAGCACAAATATTCCGTTACTTTCGTTACTTCTGTTTTTGAGACTATATGACACAAGATTAATACAACTGACACAATGAGTGTCATTTTAAATTGAATTATCATTTTGGATTCTACAACCAAGGGTGGATTAAGGGGGGGGGAAGGGCGGGGAGGGGCGGACGCCTTTTCTCTTAGGGATTCGACCCCCTGCCGACCCAAAGGGTCCCCCCCTTTGGTACTTTTTGAGAAATCTATTTTTGGCCGACCGACTCTAAAATTTTTCTAAAGGCGCCTTTGCCCCCCACCCCGCTTTTTACTGCTTTATGAGTGCTCAAAAAATCAAAATTTTACTGCTTTTGAGCGCTCAAAATTTTACTGCTTTATGAGTGCCCCTCCGCCCCCCACCCCGCTTTTTACTGCTTTATGAGTGCTCAAAAAATCAATTTTTTGAAAATCCGCCCCCCCTCCTCGAGAAAATTATCCCAGATCCGCGTCTGACTATAACCGCATTAAACTAATTTCGTCGCCCTACACTGGAAAAAAAATTTTATTGCTTTTTTTAATATTTTTTTTGTAAATTCGGCTCTTTTTCCTTCAAAATTCCAGCAAATTTTTATAATTGAAATTACTGTTCACATTGTCCAATTGTCATGAAAAATGACATGCAGACTAATTAGGCCATGGCAAACATATTTGATCTTCATAATCAACCTTGTGAAACCACTCCTTAGACCATAAAATTGAAGCTTGTGTGAGTTGGGGGGGGGGGGGGGGGGGGGGGGGTAAAAAGAGCCGTAATTTCTTTGCTTCAATCAAGGCAGTCGAAATATTCTGTTCTACTGGCACATCACCCGGCTTATGGTTGTTTGAAATCAGGAATGGAACTACTTCGTTAAAAGTTTGAATTAAATTTGTAATTTATCCAAAAAAGTTAATAAAAAAATAAGTGAATAATGAACGAAGCGTTTGAGAAATGATACTGCTAAAAATTCAGCATCATCTGCAATAGCGCTAATTGCTATTGTTTCATGGTGTTGTGGATCCAATCTGTTTCAGGATCCAATCTGAGTGGTCTGACACTCTAGTGTACACCCCCCACCCTGTGCAGTGACGTGATCCATAGCTGAGTGACCCGTAGAGACACTCTGCCTGTCCATTAATCAGAGGGTAGATGGGTCCGCCTGAGTCGCCACCGCACGTATCCTGAGATTCAATTTTTTCCTTTTTCCAGTTTCGTGGACTCGTCTTTTTTTTTTAATTATTGCCCTATTAAGGGCCTAGGAAATTAGACAACAAGCAAATTAGACGACCGTAAAGAAACGGAAATTACGGACAACCAGTATTTACTCAGCCATAAGATAATTTAAGTATGTTAACAAGTTCCACGCAATTTGCACGCAAGTTATTGTCTAAATTCCGTTATTTTCCGATCGTCTAATTTCCTGTCGTCTAAGTTCCTAACCCCCCCCCCCCTATTTAACATGCGGATGAATATACAAAAAAACTCAAATCAAACTACTAACCTTTGCGGTACAAAACTGTCTCAAATCAATTTTTTTTCAATTATCGCAAGGATTTCTAAACAAATATATCAAAAAACCATAATCACCATTTTTCACTGCTGCTCGGGCGAAAATTGATAATGGCCATATTTATATCAAAGGCACATCGTTACATTTTGAAACAGAAACTAATTGACTCCTTGCAATTTGTCTTGTAAAAAATGACATGTCTATCAAAAATTCTTCTGCCATCTAATCTGCTATCTTTAATTTTAAGCAAAATTGTGTGAAACTTTGGAAAACTATTTGAACCTTTTTCATATCAATATTTGGCGCTTATCAAAAAGAGTCTAAAAACAGCATTCTGCAATGAAAAAAAGTGACTCTTTTTCCTTTTTAAGACCATTTGACCACGAGAGAAAGGAAGAACATACGAGCTGTACAACTCATCACGGCGAGCCGCTGTTGTGCCACTGCTTATGGTTATTTTTCTAAATGCCCGTAAAAAGCAGGCTCATTTTGCAATCATTTACTTGCATCGAAGAACATGTATTTTAATTAGCTTTTGGGAGTATCAAGAAAACTAAGAAAATGTTTTAGGTCGCCTAAAACGGAGTCGAAAAATGCTGAAAAATTTTTTCGAAAATTTTTTACTTCTTCATGAGAAAATAATAGGCTTTACCTTTTAAATGTTATTCTTCTCATTGGAAATTAAATGATAGTTTTACTTAGCCGGTAATTATTTCCTTCAGTGCTTAAAACTGGAAACTGGAAAGGAGAGCATTTCCTGCTTCTGTTTTTTGTCGCCCAATAAACAGATTTGTTGTATAGGGTTGAACTTGCTATCGGGACAGCCACCAACTGTCTCAGTGAAGATGGCCTCTTGGAGGACAGTTGCGGTGGGACCAGACGCTGAAAGTCTTCCCATACCGCACGCTGCTATCGGATGGCTAAAAATTGTTTCATTTATAGTTATTCAGTAATTTTAAAAAACACGATTATCTATTGCTTGTTCTGCTTGTTCTGCTTGTTCTACTATCTTTGATCATTGTTGTTCCTTGCAATCTCGCAAATGAACTATGTAAATGAACTATGGTCGATTTTTTCAATTTTTTTTGCCAGCCAATTATTGGTCGTAATAAGATTTCTAAAAAAATAAAAATGCTGTCTGTGTCGAGAAAAACGGGTCTGCATTTCAGATTAAACTAGAAAAGAAATTAGACATGATTTAGAAGCTGAAGCAAAAAATGTATTTCTAGTAGAATTTTAACGGTGCATTAGCTTTTAAATAGCAATTTGAGCACTTGTTTACCTACTTCAATCGCCTTTTCTGGGAAAAAAAAAATAAAATATATTTTTTCTGAGTTTTGGGATGTTTTCTTTAAATTTGAATTTTTTTTAGTCAGGTCAGAACATTCTGTACCACACTTTGTACCAGCTATCCTAGTTTCAGTTTAACTTGTGGCATGGCAATCTGAGAGAATATTGAGCTCTATTCAACTAATATCTAAAAATAGCCAACAACCGTTACATCAGGAACTTAAAAGATTTCAGGATAACCCAGGATTCAATTTTAACCTACAGTTCTTATAATTGCTAATTGACGGGTCAGTTACAGCGATGGAGTGATTTAATTTGTAAATCAGCCCATCATTGTAAGTGAAAATTTCCTGAGAGCCGGGACAGGACACCTGCTTATAGCAGCTTATCACTGAATCCAGTAAATCTACAGTATTACGAAATGATCTCACAACTTAGTTAATGAAATAAATTGATAGCAAGCCTTAAGGCTTTTTTTTCAAGCAAATGAGCCAAGATTTTTTTGCGTTTTCTGCCGATCATCAATGTCTTAAGCCTACAATTCTAAAAATTGAGAAAACAATTCTTTTTTCAGTTCGAATATAACTGGAATAATTCGTCCGAATCCCAAGTTTTTTTCCACTGTAGAAAAAAATCTTATCCACAAAAAAAAACATTCAAAGATTAAATAACGAGTTCTATTGTTTGTACAAGTGTAAATATAATTTCTTGTTTTAATTTCCAAAACACTTAGTAATATAAACACAACTCTTTTACACAATGAATGATTTGACGGCCCTTTACGGTCGGTCAATACTTAACTTTGGCTGACAAAATTTTTGAAAAATGGTTTGGAAAAGTAGAAAAATTCATTCAAAAATTTCTAGCTCATACATGTTATTTTGAATGCAAAATGATGTATTTTTCATCTGGTAGATTTTTAGTAAGACCCGCATAATGTTTTTAAATAATTTTATAATAAAAGCGCAAAAAAAAACAAATTGACCAAATTTCGTTTTTCAAACGTTCATAATTAGATCGGAAGTGGAATGGTTTTCTCAATACAAAGCTCAAAAAGCCAATACCTTTCAAAAAAATTTTTAAAATGGTTCATTAAAAGTTTGAACAAATATCTTGAAGAAAAAAATTAATATTCTAAGACTTAGAGCACAATATTCTCTTTTTCTTTGAACAATAATCTGATTAAATTATTTTTTTAGATATCAAAACAGTTACTATGTCATGCGTTCGACGAAACTGTCAGGCTGGCTTTGCTTTCCACACACAAAAAAGTTGTTTTATTATGCAGAGTCGAATGACTTAATCTACACATTTCTTGCAATCGTAAACATTTGCTTAAAAATTTTTTTACTCTTTGATTTAATTTTTTGCAGTCTTTGATTTCAATCGCTTGTTATACTGCGCTCTGCTATTTTCGTCTTTTTTGTTATAGATTCCACGAACAAATAGCCAAAACCATGCATTCCTCAAAATTTCTCCAAACCAGACGATTTTGCATAATCCGCAACAAAATTTGCAGAATCCTAAAAATAATTGCGCAATCCGGAGCAGTTTGTGGAATCCACAAACAAATAAAATTATATACATTATATGTATAGTGAAATTAAGCTGTCGCGGAATCCGTAACTGTATGCGGAATCAGCAAATTGTGAGCAAAGTCTGTAAATTGTAAGCGGAATCTGTTCATTTCAGGAGGAAAAAAAGCCGGGGCGCGCGTAGAGGAAGGGGGTTGGGGTGAGAAACTGGAAAAGGGCCCTCACTTTTTGTAGCTCTCCGTGCAGAGGGGCAGGATTTTTGAAAGAGAGAACTTGTCTTCCAGTTTGAGCAGAGCCAGGTCCCCCTCTTTTGCCCTCATGTCCCAGCCGGGGTAGATGCGAACAGAGGTACAGTGTACTTTGTGTTTGACGCTGGATGGAATGGAAAAGTCCCCCTCATACACATACACACTCTTCACTGGTCCACTCATATATTCAGCTAAAAGCATCTGAAAATCCCGCTAAGCGCAATTGAAAAGCTTTGTAAAGAAGATTTTTGGTTTTCACCATTAGTTTTCCCATTGGTTGGCACTTTTCCCTCACTTTTCGGCTCTTTTCCAGTTCCCCCCCTTTCAAATTCAATTTTGAAAAGCTTAATTAACGTTGTCATAATGCAATGAAATTTGGCATGGTGAACAAATCGTCAACTGTGAACAGATTTGTTGTTTATACATAACAGCGTAACATCACGCATTTAGCCGTAATAACACGTAAAACAAACATAAAATTCGTTATTTTGAAAGGGGGGGGGGGACTGGAAAAGAGCCCACTTTTCCCTCACCAATCAAATTTTCCGCTTTTCTAGTTGTTTTAATCATGGCTAAACGCATGAGTTTTAAGATGTAAACTATGAAAAGAACAAATTTGTTCACACAATTGTTAGTTTGTTCATCATGCCTAGTTTCATTGCTTTATGACAAAATTGAAATTCAAAGGGGGGGAGGTTGGAAAAGAGCTTACAGATTTTCCTTGAAAAAAAAATTACGAAACCCAAATTAAAATAAATTTTGATGTTTTTCACTGCAATATAGCATGTCAGCATAAAAAATTTTTCTTTTTTACCTCTTTTTCCAATTACCTTTTTTCTGAACTGAAGCAAAAGCCAAATTAAAATGTCTTTTGATGGTCTCCACTCCGATAAAAAAACTGTCAGCTGAAAAAAATCAGCTTTAGCAAGGATAGCCGGTTGCGGAGAAAGTAGCATAGAGTATTCTGAGTTGGGATTGATCTCTAACTCATAGAGTAATTTCAGATATGGTACATCGTCTGCTCGTCACGCTAACTTTTTTAGGCCTGATAGATTCGTGCAACTTCTTAGTCTAATACCGGTCTTAATCTTACTCCTATATCTCTTAGTCTCAACAGATCTAGAGTATACTGGTTTGTTACGAGTCGGTCTTTTGGAAAAAGCAACTAAGTTGTAAGTTAAATTCAGAATGCTCTGGTGCTGAAATTACAAGTAATTTCAGCACTTACAAATAATTTGGTTGTTAGTTAGATGGAGTATGATTGGTTATTCTTTAATCATTTATTCTAATTTATAACCAATGATAACATATAGTTTGGATCAGGTTCCACCCATTCGGGGTTTACAGAACTAGGGACCCAGCTGAAAGCCGGAGAGACCTGTTTGATTATTTTAATATTGATTATTTTAAAATTGTTTTAAAATTTCAGGTTTCTCAAGTCGATAGCGCCCTTCCTACACAAAAAAACTCGAACCATACAAAAAAACTCAACACAAAGCCAATAGCACCAAGCAAAAGCGAGAAAACGTAAGCATAGCTGATTCCATTGTCTAAAAAATACACACAATAAGTATATTGAATCTTTGTTCCAATGCCAAAAAACTTTTAAAAAAACTTTTCCTAAGTGTACAGCTCTTGCCCAAGACAAATTAAGGACCAGCCGCTTGAGCATGGGGGATTCCTACAACCTGGTCTATCGATTAAACCCTTAATCCCAAATCTAGACGGGTAGTTCTTGAGGAAATCGGAAAGATTTGAAAAAAGGCCAAAAAAGTCAAAAAAGTGACTTTTCCTAAGTCTATAGCTCTTCCCCTATTCAAGTTAAGGACCAGCCGCTTGGGCGGGGGAGTTTCCTACAATCTGGTTTATCGATTAAACCCTTAATTCCAAATCTGGATGGGTAGTTTTTGAGGAAATCGATAATTTCCGAAAAAATAGGCAAAAAAATCAAAAAAGTGACTTGTCCTAAGTCTATAGCTCTTCCCCTAAGCAAATTAGGGACCAGCCGCTTGTGCAGGGGAGTTTCCTACAACCTGGTCCATCGATTAAACCCTTAATCCCAAATCTGGACGGGTAGTTTTTGAAGAAATCGAAAAAGTTTGAAAAAATGGCCCAAAAACCGAAAAATTGACTATTCCTAAGTGTATAGCTCTTCCCCTAGACAAATTAGGGACGAGCCGTTTGTGTAGGGGGGTTCCTACAACCTGGTCTATCGATTAAACCCTTAATCCCAAATCTGGACGGGTAGTTTTTGAGGAAATCGGAAAGATTTGAAAAATGGCCAAAAAAGTCTATAGCTCTTCCCCTAGGCAAGTTAAGGACCAGCCGCTTGTGCGGGGAGTTTCCTACAACCTGGTCTATCGATTAAACCCTTAATTCCAAATCTGGATGGGTAGTTTTTGAGGAAATCGATAATTTCCGAAAAAATAGGCAAAAAAAGTCAAAAAAGTGACTTTTCCTAAGTCTATAGCTCTTCCCCTAGGCAAGTTAAGGACCAGCCGCTTGTGCGGGGGAGTTTCCTACAATCTGGTTTATCGATTAAACCCTTAATTCCAAATCTGGATGGGTAGTTTTTGAGGAAATCGATAATTTCCGAAAAAATAGGCAAAAAAATCAAAAAAGTGACTTTTCCTAAGTCTATAGCTCTTCCCCTAAGCAAATTAGGGACCAGCCGCTTGTGCATGGGAGTTTCCTACAACCTGGTCTATCGATTAAATTCTTAATCCCAAATCTGGACGGGTAGTTTTTGAGGAAATCGGAAAGATTTGAAAAAATGGCCCAAAAACCGAAAAATTGACTATTCCTAAGTGTATAGCTCTTCCCCTAGACAAATTAGGGACGAGCCGTTTGTGTAGGGGGGTTCCTACAACCTGGTCTATCGATTAAACCCTTAATCCCAAATCTGGACGGGTAGTTTTTGAGGAAATCGGAAAGATTTGAAAAATGGCCAAAAAAGTCAAAAAAGAGACTTTTCCTAAGTCTATAGCTCTTCCCCTAGGCAAGTTAAGGACCAGCCGCTTGTGCGGGGAGTTTCCTACAACCTGGTCTATCGATTAAACCCTTGATTTCAAATCTGGATGGGTAGTTTTTGAGGAAATCGATAATTTCCGAAAAAATAGGCAAAAAAAGTCAAAAAAGTGATTTTTCCTAAGTCTATAGCTCTTCCCCTAGGCAAGTTAAGGACCAGCCGCTTGTGCGGGGGAGTTTCCTACAATCTGGTTTATCGATTAAACCCTTAATTCTAAATCTGGATGGGTAGTTTTTGAGGAAATCGATAATTTCCGAAAAAATAGGCAAAAAAATCAAAAAAGTGACTTTTCCTAAGTCTATAGCTCTTCCCCTAAGCAAATTAGGGACCAGCCGCTCGTGCATGGGAGTTTCCTAGAACCTGGTCTATCGATTAAATTCTTAATCCCAAATCTGGACGGGTAGTTTTTGAGGAAATCGGAAAGATTTGAAAAAAGGCCAAAAAAGTCAAAAAAAGTGACTTTTCCTAAGTCTATAGCTCTTCACCTAGGCAAGTTAAGGACCAGCCGCTTGTGCGGGGGAGTTTCCTACCATCTGGTTTATCGATTAAACCCTTAATTCCAAATCTGGATGGGTAGTTTTTGAGGAAATCGATAATTTCCGAAAAAATAGGCAAAAAAATCAAAAAAGTGACTTTTCCTAAGTCTATAGCTCTTCCCCTAAGCAAATTAGGGACCAGCCGCTTGTGCATGGGGGATTCCTACAACCTGGTCTATCGATTAAACCCTTAATCCCAAATCTGGACGGGTAGTTTTTGAGGAAATCGGAAAGATTTGAAAAAAGGCCAAAAAAGTCAAAAAAAGTGACTTTTCCTAAGTCTATAGCTCTTCACCTAGGCAAGTTAAGGACCAGCCGCTTGTGCGGGGGAGTTTCCTACCATCTGGTTTATCGATTAAACCCTTAATTCCAAATCTGGATGGGTAGTTTTTGAGGAAATCGATAATTTCCGAAAAAATAGGCAAAAAAATCAAAAAAGTGACTTTTCCTAAGTCTATAGCTCTTCCCCTAAGCAAATTAGGGACCAGCCGCTTGTGCATGGGGGATTCCTACAACCTGGTCTATCGATTAAACCCTTAATTCCAAATCTGGATGGGTAGTTTTTGAGGAAATCGATAATTTCCGAAAAAATAGGCAAAAAAATCAAAAAAGTGACTTTTCCTAAGTCTATAGCTCTTCCCCTAAGCAAGTTAAGGACCAGCCGCTTGTGCGGGGGAGTTTCCTACCATCTGGTTTATCGATTAAACCCTTAATTCCAAATCTGGATGGGTAGTTTTTGAGGAAATCGATAATTTCCGAAAAAATAGGCAAAAAAATCAAAAAAGTGACTTTTCCTAAGTCTATAGCTCTTCACCTAGGCAAGTTAAGGACCAGCCGCTTGTGCGGGGGAGTTTCCTACCATCTGGTTTATCGATTAAACCCTTAATTCCAAATCTGGATGGGTAGTTTTTGAGGAAATCGATAATTTCCGAAAAAATAGGCAAAAAAATCAAAAAAGTGACTTTTCCTAAGTCTATAGCTCTTCCCCTAGGCAAGTTAAGGACCAGCCGCTTGTGCGGGGGCGTTTCCTACAATCTGGTTTATCGATTAAACCCTTAATTCCAAATCTGGATGGGTAGTTTTTGAGGAAATCGATAATTTCCGAAAAAATAGGCAAAAAAATCAAAAAAGTGACTTTTCCTAAGTCTATAGCTCTTCCCCTAAGCAAATTAGAGACCAGCCGCTTGTGCATGGGAGTTTCCTACAACCTGGTCTATCGATTAAACCCTTAATCCCAAATCTGGACGGGTAGTTTTTGAGGAAATCGGAAAGATTTGAAAAAAGGCCAAAAAAGTCAAAAAAGTGACTTTTCCTAAGTCTATAGCTCTTCCCCTAGGCAAGTTAAGGACCAGCCGCTTGTGCGGGGGAGTTTCCTACAATCTGGTTTATCGACTAACCCTTAATTCCAAATCTGGATGGGTAGTTTTTGAGAAAATCGATAATTTCCGAAAAAATAGGCAAAAAAATCAAAAAAGTGACTTTTCCTAAGTCTATAGCTCTTCCCCTAAGCAAATTAGGGACCAGCCGCTTGTGCATGGGAGTTTCCTACAACCTGGTCTATCGATTAAACCCTTAACCCCAAATCTGGACGGGTAGTTTTTGAGGAAATCGAAAATTTCCGAAAAAA